ATATATATATACAAACATATTATTTATGTCGAGCTGTCTTTTGAGTTACAGAAAAACTACTTCGGGTAGTCGTAAAATGTCTTATGTTTGAAGTTCGACAAAGCTTGATGAAAGTTTGTGAAACCAAGTAATTGGAGAAAAACATAAGAGCTTTATAGAAGAAACTAGTTAAGTTTCTTCCTCTTGAGAAGAATCACATAAAATTAAAAAGGCAGTTCTTCGCTTAAAAAATCTTGAAAGCAAAACTTAAAAAGAAATATACTTCATAAAATGGCACGATGGTTAAATCAGACATCAGGAGAATAGAAAGAAATCCGCTGATTTTCTTCGTCCAGTTAACTTTGCAGACGACTGGTAGCGCAGTAGTAGAGATGACGTTTACCACCAGTATGGTTGTGGTTCGACGCCATCGAGTGCGGATCAAACCTTTCACATCTCCATCGCCCAGATATTAGTATCAGCCTTATCCCAAATCAATTCGCTTCTTAACTCTTTTATTTACTGCCTTTTTCTTCTTAATGGCACTGTATGTTGCGAAATATAACTCGTATGAAATGCTGAGATATTTGCAAAACTCCGCACCACAGGTGTATGCAGTGGGGAACGAACACGCGCTGTTGTCCTTACCGGGGAGCAGCGCACTTCACCACTACACCATCCGGGTCCTTCGCTTTGCATGTCTCTCAGCTAGCATGCACCTGTGGTCCGGAGTTTTGCAAATATCTCAGCATTTCAATTCACTTCTTCTAATGCATGTAAGAACGCCCTAACACTGTTGTCGTGGAACAATTAAAAGAAAATCGACACCAGTAGCAATCAACGATTTTCATCACAAAAACGAAAATGTGTGGGTTACAATCGAATCCACATGCAAAGGCATGAGGACCTTCGTAGATGACCGATACGATGTAACAATCAAACACGACAACTGCTGTAATTCGCACAAGAAATCTAAGGATGGGCTAGGTAGTAGAAAAATAAGTAAATAAAACAAGAAGGAAATTTATCTTTGTATTTCATATGACCCGTCTCTCACATCTACAGTGCGGATCCCAGCACTTCTTCGATTCGACTCGCTTCCTTGCGTCGTTCATCCACGAAGGTCTTCCAACTCGTTGCGCCTGTCTAGATTTGGCTTGCTGCTGCTTAAGCATCCTCCTTTCGTCGTGAATATCGTTGGGTGCTGGACGAGTCAATTCACTCCGGAGTAAAGACTTCAGAGAGTAAAGTTCTCCCAGACAAGTCTAGTAGCATTTTTCTAATTATGGAGGGATATGAGTTCGAGAAGGGATCGAATCAGGATGCACCGTGCTCATGAGAATCGCCATCACTACCACTATTCACCCGCCTCCCCTTCGAGAATGAACTATCCAGGTCTTCCCACTATTTTTCAAACTTAGATGTGGATAGCTGCCTTTTCATTGAATACATCGCTATAAAATTTCTTCCAGCAATAACTATCGGAAGCAGGTTGGAATAATCTCAGATCAAAATCAGCTACCAGAACATCTGGACAGCTCTGCAACCATAAGTACCCACCTATCCGGCAACAGCGCTTCATTCGTTTTCAAACGAACTCCCTGAAGGAGATTGTTCATTTTATTTCTCTGAGTTTCGTTCATGGCCATTTTTCTAATAGTATTCTTAAAACTGCTGTCTCCATGTCGATATAATCCAGCCTGAAAATAACGAGAATAACACATACCTGCTTTCATCACAAATGGATCTAATAGGCGCACCTCGTTTAGGACTTCACAATAAAATTCCACAAGACCCATATTCAACTCATAGAACAATCGGTTTACCACTGAAAAATATACTCTGTGGAAACAATAAAACCCAAAATATATTAAACAGTTTCACCAACTAGTTTATCAACTGCACCATTCTATATTCACCAAGGAAAACATGTAAATAAGCAAAATGGACTCTTTACGGCTCCGATTTGATGGTCTGTCTTTCTGTTTTCATTTCACGTTGTGAATACTGATCGACAAGTTTTCCTTAATATCCATACATATCCATGCTATGGTATGCCTCGTATCAATTATGCAGTCGCTGATTGCTGTGCATAAGACAAATGTTTGTTTCTTTGGCACAACGATAATCGTAGGGAAGCAGCATTTCCTACTGCCAATCGACAACAAACGTCGGTACACATCATAAATTTTCTATTTCGCTAATTAAAAGCAACAGCTCTCTGGGTTAACCAGAAATGAATACTACATATACATTTTCTAGCGACTTCGGAGATTCCGTTGCTGATGATAACAGAATGGACTATTGCAAATTACATTCTAAACAGAGCTCAGCCGTGTAGCTCGTACGTACATTTCCTTGACTTGTCACATTACACCATTTTACATTACATTACATTTACGTATTACATTATACTGATCATATATACAATCAGCTAGTTTCCATGAAACTCTTATCTGATGTCGTTTTGAGCTAACACAGAACAATGCAAGGAACTTCATAATTCACTTAACGATTCAATTCACAACGTCACCGAAACAGTGAAAGCTATGCAATCGGTGAAAAAGAAAAAATTTTAGTCACTCTGAAGCGGATACAACGTGGAGACGCCACTTTCTGCCCGGATAAAACTTTGTTTAACCGTAAGAGTATGCTGCTTGTTTTCGGCAGAATGTTATACAAAGCATAAAAGGATAAAGCCCTCGGCGTTGATCTAACCCTGAGGGATACGCCATGCATTCGACTTCATTTCACATCGTTAGAGGCGAATGAATGCATATCTGGCCTATATAATGACTCGTGGTAGCCTACCGAATTATCCAGTCAGTGCTCTTATACTCCCAGACAAGCCTAGTACCAACCTGCCTACATCGGACGAATGAAAGGCTTGGTGAGTCTCATGCGCCGGATCGAACCCATGTGTTTTGTGGAACTCCTCCGACCACTGCACTCAACGCGCTGGCGTGTTATATATCCATATATATATATATATATATATATATATATATATACCTATATATACTTATATGTATGCATATACATATATGCATGTATACGTATATATATATATATATATATACTTGAGAAATTTGATAAAATCAAATTGCTCAACCAGCAATTGGCCAGCTTCAGCACCACGCACTGTGAGTGCTCCCTTCTATAACGTCAGACGGTGCGACGACTTCTAGGAGGTCACAAAACCTCGGGCTACACAGGACGTCACTGGAACAGGATCTGACGAATGGAAACATGACAAGCCATGGAGATTGCTTCTTACTCTGCACGCATAACGCCAGAACACTTATCACAGACACCAATCTTCACTTCTTTTTTGAAGCTGGAGATCGCATCAAATTCCATGTGACCGCTTCACAAGAACCAAAAAGCAGAAAAGCGGACATACACCAACTAAACAACACGAGTCCTCTCATTATTAGCAGAGAATTGGTCTTTTCATGAAATGTCGGTGGCGTAGGCTTTGTCGTCCGCCCGTCCGTTGTCCATTTTATCGACTCGTAAGAGCTTGCATCACTCCGCATGGCCGTTCTTCGTCTTCAACTGATGGGTCATAAGAAGATCATAATCATCAACCGCTACTCACCTACCGATGCAGCTAATGAGTAATTGGATGCCTTCTACTATCAGTTTGAGGAAGTTGTTCGCAATGACAAAGCATATTACAAATTTTATTGTCGGAGACTTTAACGCCAGAATAGGAAAGGCCAATGACAGCGAATACATGATCGGAAATTTTGCAGTAGGAGGAAGAAATGAGAGTGGAAACCGTCTCGCAGGACTCTTGTCTGCAGCACGTCTCTTCCATGGAAACTCGTTCTTCCAGAAAAAAGAAACCAGCCGCTGGACATGGGAGTCTCCTAACGGCACGACTCATGCGAAGATCTACCACATTCCGATAAACAGCAGATGGTGCCTACTTGATACATCGGTGGTCCCGTTATTCTGAACTGATCCAGCCATAAGTTGAAAAAGAACTTCATCGAGTACTAATAAGAAATCTAGTTGTATATACCCAGAGTATTTTGAATGAAATACTACCACAACGTGACTGGTAGATTAAGGAACACTCGACAGAAGAATACGAGCTGCTTATCGAAGGACTTAAAAGTTGTGCCGAATTCGAATAAGTTCACCTAGTAAGAATATCAGATCGCATATCCATTACCACTAAGGAGTTGGTCGAAAAAAGAAAACAGAAACTTGATCCTACTGCAATACCTTTAACACAGCTATTAATAAATACCAGTTCCAAAAGAGCTTTAGGGAAGATCTACATCGGTACAAGCAGAAGAAACTATTAAAAGACGCAAAAAAAAGAACCAATCTGAAGAAACACAGTCGCGGTATAAGTGAGTATAATGCTCCACTGTCAGCGTTGACGAACGAAGATGGGATTACAAAACTTCTCGCCCTTATGTGGAATTAATAATGGAAATCTTTTACACGAACCTTTTCCGTTCCACAATCCCTGTCCTAGACCCCAAAAATCCCCGTTTGAAAAAAAAACCGTCTGGAATTCTCCCACCGGGGGTTCGAGTTGCTATAGAAAGCATGAAAGGAGGCACATCTCCAGAACCCGATAATATCACCGCCGACTTCCACAGAACTGGAAGCCACAATTTACATATACTTGTCGCAAGCCATATTACAGCCTATCTTCGAAGGGAAAAAATCCCAAAAGTGGAGGACATCGCATACGGTTATCCTCTCCAAGAATGGTAACTGAAGGAATCTTCGTAATTATTGCACGATATGCTTGTTGAGTATATCCTACAAGCTCTTCACGCAGATTATCCTCTCTCACATATCAGGTACAATGGATGAGGCGCTATCAATTGGGCGTGCAGGATTTCGACAGGGATTTTACTCCAAAGGCCATATCTAAGCCGTACCACGGGTCACAAAAATTTGTCAGGATTACCCTCTGGCCTTTGTGCTGACCTTTATCGATCACAAAAAAGCGTTTAATGGCGTAAAAAACGAAAGCGACAATATCAGTGCTCGCTGACCAAGAGGTGGATCTATTCTACACAAGAACTTTTTCTGACTCTTAACGGAAATGCACTGCGAAAATACAGCTTTTCCATCGACTTCTTACTATATTAATAGGAAAATGGTTTCGACAAAGCGACACAATATCGTAGAAGCTGTTCGATACCGCACAGCAATGGATAACGAACTCGCTCGATTTGGACAAGAAAGGTACAAGAATTGATGGAAAATTCCTATCGAACTTTCGTTTTGCCGATGAAATCATTACGTTTTCAAGAAGCACCAACAAAGAAGAAATGATGACCAATGAGCTCAAGGAAGCGAGAAAAACGATTGAACTCCGCATAAATCGAAAGAAGACCCAATTCGTGAAAAACCTATGGTGCCGAGGCGATCAGATCAAATCTCTCTGACTGCAGACACTACTCGCGCGTGAACCACAAGCGTTCATTGAACATGGAGAATAATATGATAGAGGAATTAGATAGAAGAAGGAGAACGGCATGGGCCGCGTGCAGGCCTCTCAAATAAGCCACCGACCAACTAAAGCAGCCGAAAATATGCGGTCACCTCTTTGACTCAACGGTCCTCCTAGCGCTCCGTTACGCTGCAGAAATGTTGGCTGACATTTCGGCCACGTCAAGAATCCTGCACACCAGTCACAGAGAGCTCGAACGATTCCTTCTGAAACACAACCGGCACACTCAATACTTAGCCGGAATGCGAAGCTATGATCTTCGAAACCTATCTCATTCTTGAGATCAAGGAGAATACCCATAGCAAGAGAAACACGGATGGCATGCATAATTACATAATGAGAACAGTAGATGACAAATGAACAAGAAAGGGCCACCTACACTTTGTGCGGAAGTGTTCGTAACCACGGTTAAACAGCTGTGTTAGCAGTAGCAGTTATTTTACTGATTACAGTATGAGACTCCCACCCGCCACCGTGCTCGAATAAAACCACCACCATAAACGACGACTGAGAGGAAGGGAACGAATGGGAAGTGTCCTGGGGTCCGCAGTACTCTTTAAACGGACCGTCTAAGTATCAAAAAAAGTAAGTACATATTGAATTTATCGTTGTGATTCGCCATATCGGATTTACATAAGTCTAGAAATTGGGGTTTCAAAAAATATGGATTTTTCATGCAACTGCCACGACCGACTTTCTATTAACCTCGGCATTGATCAAGTGATTTTGTTCGTATTTTTTTTGAGCAAACGCGAGGTGTTATTGTTCTTTGTTCACGATTAAGCTGACGTTTCGGCGAATTTCGCCTTCTTCAGAGCCGCTTTCTATGAGGTCTCCACTAAGTAGGAGAGAGACTTAGACTTACTTAGTGGAGACCTCATAGAAAGCGGCTCTGAAGAAGGCGAAATTCGCCGAAACGTCAGCTTAATCGTGAACAAAGAACAATAACACCTCGCGTTTGCTCAAAAAAAAATACGAACAAAATCACTTTTTCATGCAACGTTGCAACTGCTGAGTTAGAGGGTGTATTTGAGAGCAACATCGTATCTTCTTAAACGAAACCATCTGTTGCATTGCTTCGATGTTCGAAACACTAACACCAGTGAAAAGAAAAACGCTTCGAGAGCTTTAGAAAACGAAACTTCGTTGTTGTAGAAAAAGAAAACTCATGTTGGCAAAGCTATTTAGATTCCAAATGGTCTACTTTCAGCTGAAAAAATTCTTGATGAGCTGAAAGATGCTTATTTAACTAGTTAAAAACGTTATCGGTGTCTAGAACAGTGCTATCTACGCAACCACTATGATGGTAAGATATTTGCAAAACTTGGACTCTGGCCATATTCAAACTCGGGATTACCATTTGGTGAGATTCACATATTACTCTTTGCACCAATGACGCCCCTACTTTGCCACTCTCTATCTGGTCTACAGTTCAAAATTTTGCAAATATCTGAGCATCATAGTGGTTGCATTTCACATCACACCCTATCGTGAAAAATAAAAACAGGCAGTAAATAAAAAGTTACCAAAAATACCAAAACCACATTTAAAGACATGATCGCGTCCTAATGGATGAAATACCGCTTATTCAAATGATATCACTTTCGAAATATGAGCATCGAGTGGAAAAAGTGACAAAAGTACGATCCTCACGATTCAAAAAAAATCAAAAGTCTACTTTAGTAGAATAAGATGTTTTTCGCACCTATCTGTAGATTCTAACGGTTCCCATTTCAGTGAAAAAAGTCCACCTTAAGATGATACATGTGGGTTAAAAGTTCGGAGCGGCTATTACTTTGCACCGTACAAGTATAAATCAATTCACATTGGAACCTAAAACATAAGTGTTAAAGCAAAGAAATGTGCTAATATTTTTGGCACATATTGAAGGAAGTCAAATCACACTGGATTGAATGTTTAAAACTTGAACCAGAAGGAACAGTCCGCATTAGCACAGAAGACGTAAGTAATAATTTCAAAGAAATGGAAGGCTCATGTCACTTAAGAGCAACAGTTGTACATAACACGAGCAAATATCATCAAACACTGACAACTTGTTCAAGTTTTGTAACTAGGTGTTAGGTTAATGTTCATTTGTGTACAAAATTCGGTTCAACAATAGTAGTTTCGGACTTACATCCAAAACAAAGTGCTGGACTCCGATCTTGAAGAACCTTCGCGGAGGTAAAGACGCCAAGCCATGCACGTACACCGGCGTCTATGAAGACCTTAATACATGATTTACACATTAAAATGTTTCATTTGTATAAGAAAAATCAATGCAGAAACGTAGGAAAGGTAAGAGCCCTTCTTAACTCATGAAACAAATATTATCTGTAAACACCTTTGGATCAGTGGAAACCCGAGGAATATAGTACAGGGTGCCAGAGCAGGATTCCCAACGATTTACGAACACCCTGAAAGTAAACCATTAAACAAGCAGCATTATAGAAACTTTCTGAGTATAAACAACACTATTTGCATGACAGACTGAAAATTGCACCAGTTTGTTTTTAAAAACTGGACATTCCATTGCACCCTATATGCTCAATACAAAGCAAAATTAACGTCAATGTCAAGATACATCGGCATGAATAATTACTCTATATAGTTCTTATAAACTGCCTCTATTGAGTTGACACGAGGTTAGTATCCGTTCTTTTCGTGAATTGGTGGCTAACGTTTCGACGACTTCGCCTTCTTCAGAGCCTATATGTGTTTTATATAAACCATATCAATATAATTTTCCGACTTATTTACAGTTCTAATGAAGATCTATTATATAGGTGAACATCACTCTGCTAAAAAAAAACTACTCGTCGTTTTGTAAGGTATGAGACCACCCATATGTTGTTCAACAGCGATTAGGAGCGAGATCCGCCCAGATTAAAAAGTCAACCTAGGAAAAGACGTCAGGTTATGTATGATACTTAGGCATTCTTCTTTCCCGTTAATCTCTAGAATTTTGAAATTTATCGAAAACGCTCTAAGAGTGTTGCGCATTGATGTTTTTGAATCCTTCACCAGGACACAGTCATCTCGAAATCGCCAACATTCTGCTTTTGTACTCTTTGGGTAAAGAATGCCGAATTTTAAGTTTCCCGCATAAATGTTCCATATGGACAAAAAGTAGTCTACATGTTTCTCCAATGTATTCTTCATCGCATGCCTTACTTGAGATTAAGTATACTGTACTGAACTCATTCAACCCGTGCCTGCCACTAGGGCAGATTACACAATTGTCTGAGTTGCACAAACAATCACTGAGGTTGTCGTCTAACTGACTGTGGTGGTCCTAAGTGGAAGACCAATAATGGTACAGAATTTTCAAGACCACTTCATCTTAGGCAACTCTCAACCGTGTAACTTTTTTCGTTTTACAAGGAAGAAGAAATAGCTAAACTTGGCATGGAAAACTTTGAAAAACAAAAAAAAACCAATTTTTGTCCGCAGAAAAGGACGCAAATGCGGGAAAGTTAAAATTCGGCAAAGCAATCCTCTAGGTGCACAATAGGGCAGAAAAGAATAATGGTGACGATTGTGAAGTAGCTGCCAGGATTCTGGCGCAGAAATCAAAAACGCCAACAGGCAAGACTCTTAGAGCGTTTTGGGCAAATTTCAAAATCCTAAAGATTAACCGGAAAGACCAATGCCCGTGACTTTGCGTTTTTCTTCAAATTGATTTACTGATCTGGCCGATCACTTCTCATTCCATGTGAACAACAGAGGGTGGTCGCACCTTAGGAAACGGCAAGCAGTCTTTAGACAAAGTGGAGTCCATTTATACAACAGATCTTCATAGTATTACAGAAAAGTCACAAAACTATATGAACAGCGTTATACAGAATACATACAGGCCCAGAAGAAGACGAAGTCGCCAAAACGGTAGCCACTGAATCACGATTACAACAACGACTAATAACAACATCGCGTCAATTCAATAAGGGGATTTTGTGAAAATTACGTACAGAACTGGTATTTCGGAGGCAATAAAGTGGTAAGAAGCAACACATATGTGAACTAACCAGTCTTTATCACCATCTGCCGGAAAGTATCGCGCACGTTGAGAAGTAAGGGACTTGACTACTATTGCGGACAAATTTCGCTGGGCAGCATCCTCAGCATTAAGATTAAATGCAAAGTCAGATACGTAGCTGACCGTCAGGGTTACTCTCTAAACAACTCACATGCGGGTAAAAACATTGCACATGACTTTACACGAGAGAACAACAATTCCTGCAAATTTAAATTCAGAAAAGAATAGTTGACCACAACCACATGTGACCAATGAATATGACCAGATTACCTTGTTTGAACTTGGAAATCTCCAGTCGAATTTTCGATTCTTTCCATTTTTAAGCTTCCATAGATTTAAAGAGAACGCACTAAAAAATAATGAAGCTATGTTTGTAATAATCGTACCCACTACGAGAAGATAAATTTCAAACGTTTCGTCATATTTCAGGTATACAGCCTTTTAACAGTTCGTATGTTCACTGATTTTCATTATGTGAGCAAACACGAAGTTGTTACTTCAGCGTTTATTTGCTTACAACGGCTGACGTCTTGGCGTTGTCGCCTTCCTCAGAACTGGGAAAGCCCAAACGGATATGTTCTATTCAGCAAAACACTTTCGTAAACTCAGTAGATAAAACTGAACGCACAAATTTTCATTCGCACAACAAACAGTTTTTTTTAAAAATCCTCATCGCATTCTTAACCTTGTTATTTACTACTTATTCTTTTTTTAACGGCAAGGTATTTTACGAAATAGAACTACTATAATGCTGAGATATTTGTAAAACACCGGACCGTAAGTGTCTGCGGTGGCGAACGAACGCGCTATTGTCCTTTCCGGGGAGTAACGCATTCACCACCACACCATGCATGTCTTTCGTTTCGAATGTTTCTCAGCTAGTTCTATCGATCTTTTGCCACCAGCAATCACCCGTCAACAAAAGAATGGAATTGGAAGATTTGGGCTCCCCAGATCAAGCTTCTCATCGCTTTGTTCATTGTATGTCTCTCAGTTATTTGTTGGAGATCAGCCGCAACCAGTCTTTCATGGACAATGAATATACCTAGCTCCGATCGAAGAATCAGCTGTGGTACGACGTCATACGTGATCTCAAAACACTCCTTACAGCTCATTTTTGGAATCTTTGGAGCTTATTAATTCACATATTATGACATATACATGTATGTATGTTATAATGCATATAAATAATGCATATATGGAGCCGGTAGCACAGTGGTAGTGATGTCGGTCATCACGATCGTGGTGCTAATTCGATTCCACTCCGAGCCAACCAAGCCTCTCATCCCTCCGGTGTCTGAAAATTGGTACTGGTCTTGCCCGGGAGGAAATAACTCTCTGCAATCCAACTGGGAACGCTCCAGCTCAGTATCCTAGGCCTCCAAGGAGAATCGACTCGACCAGCATTCTACGTACGATATTCAAGATGAAACGAAATCCTCAACCAGCAATCGAAGCGACATGTAAAAGTTGGAAGATCTTCGTGAGAAACGGATGCGAGAATCGAATGTGAGAAGTGTTTGGATCCGCATAGTAGACATGAAGACGGGTCATTTAAATAAAATAAATAACATGTACATACAATAGTATAACAACATTAGTGCAGTATAAAAAGTAGAATTATATAATAGCATAACCGTGTAGTATGATACGTAGTACAGTACAATAAGTATAACTAAAGGTAAGAAAGAATAGTATAGTATAAGTAGGATAATTATCTGTTATAACAAACTATAACCTAAATTTGTAAATTTCAAAAATACGAAAAAGAACCGTAAGGGGGACAAAAAATAAAGGATAAAGCCTTCGCCGTTGATCAATCCCTTAGGGACGCGCCATGCGTTCGACTTCACTAAGGATCGTTTGGAGATAACTGAAGACATATCTGGCCTTTATAACACTCGCGGTGGCCTGCCGATGTATCGAGCCAGTGCTGTGGTCCTCCTAGACAAGTCTGGTATCGATCTGCCGATTCCGGAGTGATGGAAGGCTTGGTGGGCCAGGGCCGCCGGGACCGATCCCTTGTGTATTGCAGGGTTCATCGGACCACTGCGCTATACGTGCCCGCCGTCCCAGCAAGGTTGAGTGGTCTGTAATCACGTTTAATCTCGCATCACACCTCACACTAAATTTCTAACTTAAAGGCGGCACATTTCTAGCTTACGCAACACTCTGCGATGGCCTCCACCAAATAATGGGAGGCTTGCAAGGAACAAAACGGTTAATATTTAAAAGAAGCTGTTTATCACGCGAATGAAAAGTTTATGTACTAAATTTTACCATCTGGGGTTATGAAATTGCCTTACTGAATAGAGTGCATAACAATCTGACCTTTCCAGTCCTTGGAGAAGGTGAAACCGACGAAATGTCAGCAATTTTGAATAAATAAATGTTGTAACAACAATTTCGTGTTTGCTCATAAAAACAGTGAATTGTTGATCAATGACAAGGTTAAAAGAAAGTCGGTCGTGGTAGCTTACATTTCAAGTTCACTGGGCTTAAGTTTTACCACTTCAAGTTTCTGATTCGCGAAAAGTGGTGGATAAAGTTTTAGTGCATAATGTCTGAATCACAAATACCTGTACCTAAAGAAAATTGGAATCCAAAAATCACTTGAAAATTAAATTCTAAAAATCTTAGAATCTCGCAATCGATGTAATAAGTAATCAAGCACATATATTCCTGTGCTGCACATTATTTGCAATAAAATCGTCTTTAACAAATAAGATACCACGCTGGTTTCCTCACTACTACTGATAATTCTTCTATTATTAGACTAGTTACGGAGTTTCGAACTTGATAGCCTTACAGAAAGTAACATTGAAAAGCCTTTCCCTAACACCTTATATGTGTGCACGTATATGAACATATATACATATATACATATATATGTATTAAGTGGTTCAAAAATTAATGGCGGATTTCAACCAGGTATATAATAGGCCAAGAAGTGCGCACAGTACAGTAGCCACAGGCGTTCTTTAATACACACGTGATTGATCCCACACCCCAAGTTCACCAAGTCTTCCATCCTTCTGTGGTCGGTAAACTGGTGCCGAACTTGTTTGGGAAGCATTGACTCGATGCATCGGTAGGCCACCGTGAGTCATTGTATAAGCCAGGTATTCATTCAGTCATCTCCAACGATGCTTAATGAAGTGTAATATATGGCGCATTTCTCAGGGAATGATCAACGCCGAGAGCTTTGTCCTTTTCTCATATCATAGCCCAGAATGAACTTTACTATTGGAATAAAACATTAAAGTCTACTTATTGTTCCCAATCAGAAACGAGTTTATATATTACAGTTGTATAAAATTCCGCATTTCTGCGGGTGATCAAGTCGTTGAAGGTAGCTTTTACTTTGGCTTAGTTTTTAAAGTATTTCTCACAAGAGAGGTTTTCGACATTCTTGAAAATGTGGTAGTCAGTAAACCAATAGTCTGGCGAGTGTGGTGGATGAGGCAGTATTTCGTAGCCAAGTTCGCTCACCCTTTGCAGCGTGGATTTGCGAAGTGTGGTCTCACTTTGTTCTGGACCTTTTAATTCACACGGCATCAGTTTATCGAGCTTCTTCAACTTGGCAAATCTCCTTAGATGTTTCGAAACAGTTGAGATGCTTATATTGAGTTTTTCTACATGATGGCGAATAGTTGCGCGTGTATTTGCTTCCACCAAAACTTTCAATTCATTGTTCTTGACAGTGGAAGGACGTCCGCGATTCGATTTCCCATGACCAAATTTTCCGAAGAAATGCTGCACTCTGCCTTCGCTACCACTTTCCTGGTCCCATACAGGATAAAATTTTAGGCATCAGCTGCACTACATCCGAGTTTGAAATCGTAGAAGCAAACTTGTCGAATATTATCGTGACATCTGCAATTCTGACCTTTAAAATTTGTCAAAACGCAATTTGTACGATAATCAAATTATATGGCTCAAAAGCGCACAAAATGAGTCTCGCAATGATAAATAGTAGTACAGTATTAGAAGGAAAACTATTGCTAGAACATATACAACAAAAATAAAATAAATCCTATATCAATTTTCGGACGACCTAATAAAGTTCATCAATTTCATTTTTAAAAATTTTAGAGCTGAAACTTCCGAAAAAAAACTAAAGACGAAAAAAATTTTCTCAAAATCCCGAACGAAAGCGCGGTAGCCACAAACATCAACGAGATACTGGGGAGCGGCCACCATTCGTACTGTTCTACGAAACGGCGACTTTTCAATCGCTTGGGTATTCAAAATACAAGCTTTGAACACGAAAAGCGTAAAAAACACGTGTTTCAGCTCCACAATATCAGACAGTTGTATTCGTAGATAACATATTACGAAAAACCAGTAGGCTTCAAAGGTTTTCCTTTCAATTAATAAAGTTAGTTATGAGATGAGATATGTTGGCCTAATGTGGGAAGCAGTCATTATGTTCGGAGCCAGGCTACGGGTTAACCACTGGATTATGAAACTTGGTGAGACAAGCTATCGAAAAAAAAAACAGAAAAACAGTATTCAAAGAATTCTGAGTAGAATCGTAAATCACCACTTTAAATACCAAAAGTTTTGAGTTCACATTTTATTCCTACTATTAAAATAATCTAAAAAAATCAAATAGAAATCAAACAGTTAGTTTTCTTAGAGTGGGATAAGCGCGAATTTAAAGCTCTCAAAATGTATTTGGTTAGTAAAAAAACCAACTTATTCTTACACAAACACTGTTACCTTGTGTAGTCATCGAAAGTGGTCTCGTAGTAAGGCCCAAAAAACTCTTCATTGCGCCTTACGCATTGCCAGAAAATCTCACACACCTGCTCTCTGAAATTGAAACCTTATCAAGATGGGGAATATTTAAAACGTTACAATACGAGATTTTTATTTATTTGTTTGGAAACAATCTCTTCAATACCGTATAATGCACCCTCGCACACAAAATTTCGCTGCTGGCTACATTCAACCCGATTCTGGCTAGTTATTGGTACTCGGTGAAACTGTTAGGCACCAGTCTCTGAGTAGGACAATCCTCCCCTGACAAAGAAAGCAAGCATCGAACAGTTTTCAATCCTGCTATGATATGCGATTGGATCCCACGAAGCCATGAATCTGGTCTAAAGGTAACAAATTCCTATGAATTGGATTTCTTTAACATCGCCAACTCAAAATTCCAGAAAAACTCGCCCTGTCGGCGCAAGTTTACTATAAAACAAACTAAATCCCCACGACAAACTAGAATCCCGGGCCACCCAACGGTTTACCGCCTCATCGTGGCTGGGAGATGTTCCTGGGTGTCGGACTGCGATGTACAGCGGGGGATTCATCCCTTGGCAGAGTTTCCCAACATAAGCAGGAGTCTGGAATTTCCATCAAGAAGCCTAACTAAGAGGAAACCAATACCAGGATCCACCATCGTACTGGTATAAAAGTCTCACGGCGGCAAATCTCCCTCTAATTCACAACTGCTGCGACTGCCCGTGGTGCTGAAAACCTCGGGCAGACTTTGGTCTGGCTGACCTCAGAACTCCAGGAAACCATAATGGCTTAACCAGCAAACTATCTAAAAACGGAGATAATACTTGCGCTCGCACAACCAGTCAGGACGGGCCATTCAAGTCCCAGGTATCAAGTATTCCTGCAACATCAAAACAGACCATCATACCTTAAACGATCCATATTTCAATAACAGTTTTCATGTTCAGTAACAAGTACCACAATCTCTGAATATGCATTGTAGAATCTCTTTGTCACACAAATTTTTCGGTGAATCAATGACAACACTAAGAATCCGATGCGGACTTCGGGTTCAACACTATGCACTATGCAGAGTGGTGGGTTGACTAATTCACTATTTCCCGCCCTAACGAGAATGGCTACTATGTTGGAAGGATCCAAGTCGCAAAGCAGTAATGTCTCATGTCTTCTCAACCAAGTCCTCTAACTACCTGAGGCGGAAGATTTGGGGAACCTCTAACATGGTTATACCAGGACTTCAAAGAAAACCACTATCGACCAGCACTAAACATGTGAACGATAAAACGAAAGTAGTAAGCATACGACGCCATGTGAGTGTTATTCGGAGAAATTATGGAACAATCTGTCAATGATCCTTTTATTACCTTCACAACAGAATACAATACAACGCTAGCTGACGTTTCGGCAGTATCGCCTTCTTCAGAGCCTGGAAGGGTATACTGATATACAACAATCTACTAGGCCAAACGCTTCAATAACACTTACACAAAGACGAAAGACTCTTTGGTAATTACACGATCAACAACTTCTCGAAAAACCCACCGCTTTTTCGTGACTTCCAATGAGGAAGTTTAGAACAGCTGATTATAGTCGCATGTGGTTGACGACTGCACCATCCCACATCAAAAATCGATGCGAACGTACGGCATCAGGTCGCGTATGACCTCCGGGCATTCGTCCCTGCTATTCATTGTAGGGTTTTTGGCATTGATCCAAAAAGCCTCTAGGAGTTTTCGCGCTGGTGTTTTGGACTCTTGANCTGATATACAACAATCTACTAGGCCAAACGCTTCAATAACACTTACACAAAGACGAAAGACTCTTTGGTAATTACACGATCAACAACTTCTCGAAAAACCCACCGCTTTTTCGTGACTTCCAATGAGGAAGTTTAGAACAGCTGATTATAGTCGCATGTGGTTGACGACTGCACCATCCCACATCAAAAATCGATGCGAACGTACGGCATCAGGTCGCGTATGACCTCCGGGCATTCGTCCCTGCTATTCATTGTAGGGTTTTTGGCATTGATCCAAAAAGCCTCTAGGAGTTTTCGCGCTGGTGTTTTGGACTCTTGACTCTTGCGAAAGTCAAGTAACAAGAACATCCTTGTTCATTTCCTTTCCTCCCACCCTTCACACACAAGGAGGGCGATTGTGAGAAACATCTTTCGAACAGCCACCTCTGTGTGCACTACCAGGGAACTAAAGGAAGAATCGCGCGACTTGGCTCGGCAAATAGCCATCTCCAATGGCTACGAAATAGTAACCCTACGAGATAAGTTTACAAGAAACCAAAAACCCGACAATGAATAGCAGGGACGAATGCCCGAGGTCATACGCGACCTGATCCCGTACGTTCGCATCGATTTTTGATGTGGGATGGTGCAGTCGTCAACCACATGCGATTATAATCAGCTGTTCTAAACTTCCTCATTGGAAGTCACGAAAAAGCGGTGGGTTTTTTCGAGAAGTTGTTGATCATGTAATTACCAAAGAGTCTTTCGTCTTTTTGTAAGTGTTACTGAATCGTTTGGCCTAGTAGATTGTATATCAGTATACCCTTCCAGGCTCTGAAGAAGGCGATACTGCCGAAACGCCAGCTAGCGTTGTATTGTATTGTGTTTTTATGGAAGTAAATGTATGCTGTTTAAAACCTCGCGATTGCTGAACAAGAAAACGACACATTCATATTCCAATGCCGAGGTTAAGAGAAAGTCGATCCTGGGAACTTCACAACAGAATTTTTCAATTCACCTATGTAGAAGGAAAGAAGTTCTAAAGATAAATATCAAAAAACCATGCCTGTTTTTCACAACACAAGTTTTACGTGCGATCATCTTCTCGATTGTGATTTGATACTGGTGTATCTGAAATTTGTTTTCTGCATGAAAGAATTACGTTGGATTAGCTCCAAATGGTAACTGTTGGAACTTAAGATTTCCAAATTCATGTATAAAATCTCATTTGAAGTCAAAACACTCCAAGAGGAGTGTCTAACATGAAAGGATAAAGAGGATAAAGTCCTCGGCGTTGATCAAACCCTGAGGGATGCGCCATGCATTCGACTTCATGAAGTATCCTTTAGAGGTGATTGAATGCATATCTAGCCTTTACAATGATTCGCCGTAGCTTACCGATGTATTGAACCAGTGCTGCTATCCTCCCAGACAGGTCTGGTACGAATTTGCCGACCCCGGAGGGATGGAACACTTGGTGGACCATGGGCGCAAGAATCGATTCCACGTGTGTGGTGCAAGGTGCCTCCGACTACTGCACCACGCGCACCCCAAGCAACCATGAATATTTTTGAAATAAAATTGACTATTCTCGCACTCTTGGGCACGTGCTGCGCAGTGGTCAGAGGCGTCCTGCAATACACATGGGAACGATATCCGCACCCAGGACCCACCGAGCCTCCCATCTCGCCGGTGTCGGAAAACTGGTACCAGACTTGCCTGGGAGTAGAGCAGTACTGGATCGGTACATCGGTAGGCCACCGTGAGTTACTGTAAAGGCCAAACATGCATTCAATCACCTCTAAATGTTTAATGAAGTCGAATGCATGGCCCATTCCTCAGAGGTTGATCAACGCCGATAGTTTTATCCTTTCTATCCTTTCATCCTAGCACCTACGGATCACCTACATAGAGATCTCATGCCGTTTGGTCGCGATTCAATGTGGAGCCTCCCAAGGTAGCAAAAAGGCGGATCAAAAGCGATCTTTGCTTCCCTGGGACGCACATAGATCCAGGTGACGGACTGTTTCTGCTGAGCCGAACTGATACATACCTTGTATTTACAAAGACGTATTAATGCATGCGTGCGTGGGTGTGTTCTGGTTTATGCAGAATGTATTCTACCATCCAATTCGGCATCAAGCCTGCAGTCAAGTGACAGGGAAGTATACCAGAGGTGGTTAGGAGTCGCCTCCAACAAATAAACTCCCTGGTCTAGTCGGAGAAAATGGCAAGCTACACGTGAGTATACTCAGCTCTCAGGTTTACAGCTCGGCAAGCTACACAATAATATGAAACGTTAAACACTGTAAAGTAATAGCCTCATTCTATTGACTCTGAAAGAGCTATCGATACGGTATCGTTAGCTAAGAAGAGTGTGGACAGGCTCATTAGATCTCAGGATCATCCTAGACTATCGCAGACTAGATCGCAAAGGACTAATGTCATACCTATACCTACAATGCAGGCCTACTTGCACCTGAGTCTTCAATAGAGGAGTTCATAATGCAGGCATGAGGATAACGTACGTCATCAGACTGGCCAAGATGAGGAGAGGCCAACTATTCAGCGCCGTCTATGACACCGGTGAAAAATTGTTCCCCGGAGTATGCCGCAGAAGAGGAGTCGACGGCGTCAGTGTTCTCGTCAAGTCGAATTCGGCCACGAACTTCAATTCATTGGAACAGCTAACAACGCCAATCGGACGTCTACGATTGAATATACCGGCTTTTGACAATATTCCTCGTTGAAGTACCGACATAGAGCTTTCACGAAGACGAAGCCAAAGCATCCTATATGGACTTGGAGAAGTTATGCAGAGAAGACCATACGTTCTTTAAGGTCACCATTGGAGATTTCAATGCAAAGACTGGATCCAGAAAAACGTTTGAAAAACATAACTGGGACCCACGGATTAAAATGGAACGAGCAGTGTAAGTGGTTGTCTGAATTTATCACGACGAACAAGACCATCCATGTTAACTCGCAATTTCAGAAGCTCCACTCTCAACGCTGGATGTGGACGTCTCCAAATAGAGAGTACCATAAGGAAGTAGACTACATGAGAGTAAATCGAAAGTTTTGTCTAATCGATGTCGCTGTTGTTCTAAAATTCTACACGAAATCAGACCTCGCAAGATTCCATATCTAGCAGAAATGAAAAAACGCCGCTGAATTCAGAAAAAGAAGTACCAAAACCACCTCAAATCGGGATTTACTCAATTCTCTAATCGGGCGTTTGGAAGATGCCGTTCGTGACAACACAGACCACCGGAGACACGAGAGGCTGTGAGCCCACTGTGGATCGAACCAGAGCCGTACTTGTAATGGAGGGTAACACTACCACTGCGCCACCCGCGCCTTGTCAAGATATAGATTTTCTGACAAATTTTGGATGTTTGGGAAATATGGTTTAACACACCTTGCGTTTCCCATTATGCGAAAAAGGAGTTACATACTCCAACAAACGCACTGGTACCATATTTTGACGTCGATTCACCAAAGCATGCACTCCTTGAGGTTTGTGCTGTTCATTTTTCAAATATTTAAGAAATATAACTTTTCGGTTCACTTACCCGTTTTCCGGTCAATCCGCACTTCAATCGATACCAATTTGCAAATAAGGAAATGGTCTTCCCTTTAGTGCCAGAAACATTCGGCCGCTCACAAACCTCACAAAGATCGACTTCTTCCTAAAACAGAAAATCTGAGTACTTCTATGTTTTCTTCCTTGAACCATAGCTGCTTTTACTGAAACACAACAACTCTTGATTAGTAAGAAATCAGACTGCCGACCAGCAAGTTTCAAATAAACAAAAACATCGAATATCTCAAAAGAATCTCTGGCAAACACTCAAGATGGCTTATTTTTTAAATCGCACTTTTCCTACCACTGAAACGTCCCTATCGTAATGAGTGGGTGAGAGTGCGACTGGCATGACGACTCGAAATGAGAGAAGAAATTTTTTCGTTCCTTTGTCTAAAACAAAGAAGTATTTTTGAAGTATAAAAAACATTTTGTATTTAAAACGTAAACATGACGATGCGAAAAACCACATTGCACACATAGGTTGTTATGTATGCGTAACGCGACTATGTCCTACCTCCAGCTTGTACCATACATGCCGTCCCGCTATTTTTAAGAGCTCCAGTCTTTAGGATATCCTCTGTTGGCTACAACTATTGACAGAAAATTCGCCAGGATATTTGAACCGCACGGATTTTTCCAAACAATACGAAAGTATTGGTTTAGTAATACAATTTCTACCGCTGAAGGATGTATTATCTATGTAATACGTCACACTCGACTGAGGTTACTTTATTCTCGCGATATTCCACTCCACTTTATTCGACTCTGTGTTACTATGAGCACTCTATTCTCACCACAAATAACTGCTGTAACCAACTGAATCGAAGCAACGCGGCTCTGAGGGACGACAGCTCCGAAATGTTCCGAAACATTACTAGGTATAACAAGGACGCTGTTTAATTCATGGCTTTCTTGATGAGCAGACACGAGGTTTTCACAACACTACTTATTCACAATATCTGGTGTTTCGGCGGTTTCTTCTCCACTAAGGACATAAAAGCATGGCGAAGGAGAGTTTGAAATAAAAATCACTATTTTCATAGAGAAATCTTAAACCCTGCAGGAACTTTTAACAAGTTTTGGATTAGTTCCAAAAATCTAAAAAGTAAACCACAGGGAAAAATGCCTCTTAAGCACATTCTTCACCAATACAAGACTGTGTGCGGCTGGCCTTCTCAAGCACCTGGAACTGTCAGTTTGATCGCTCTCTACTCTGAAGAAGAAGAAACCGCTAAAATCCTAGCAATTGTAAATTAATAGTGTAGTAACAACCTCCTGTCTGCTGATCAAGAAAAGAGAGAATTATTGATCAGTGCCGAGTTTAGTCGAGAAAATCGTTTATGGGACTTCCTAAATGACGTGTCAAGTTCGTGTAAGCTTATTAATAAAAGAAATTACAACAGCACATCCATGACATGAGGTAAACACGTAGATCAAACACCTTCTATCGAGAATCAGGCACCCGCGTGCATTGCCAAAATGTCAGAGATAACATTGGACTAGCGTATTCTGTACTACAACGACAACATCCGAACCAAAGCCGCAGCCTACTACAGAGATTAGAGATAACACGAGAGAGATTGAACGTTTCATCAGACAACTGTCAATACAGTTCATTTCTATTTGAAACTTCTCGACCATTAAAGGTTTTTAACAGTGAAACTTGATTTAAGAGAATTAGAGGTCCCGTTATTAAGTCCATGAATATAGGGCAATCTGCGTGATTGCTCACCTCTTAAATTTCGCAACAGTTGAATTCAATCAAACCTGTTGAACTCAGAAAACCTAGATCAGGCGGTTTTCACAACAGATTCCTTGCATCGCGTTATATGAAAAGACCAGTCAGTAGCTGAAGCATTCCGATTCACATCGAATAGTTTTCTTTCGGATGGAGTAGTGCATGCGATCCCCTAATGAACGGCGAACCGAGACTAAGACTGACTTGACGTCAGCCATAACTATCAGAGCCAGGCTTTTCGCAAAAAATGTGTCTAACCACGTCCCTGAAAATAACCGCAACTACGTGTGATTTTCGAAAATCGCCGAGCGGCTCGACTGTTGTTGTTTCTCCAGTGCAAATTGTAGGGTCACAGCCTTGAATTCTCACTCGAATGTGGGACTCTTTTAGTAGCTTTTGTGCAGTAACTCGGCTTTCTGGTATATTTTACTAGTGGTTTCTGCTTCTTCTTTTCTAACGTATCCTTTATGTTTTCCATGCTCAAAATTATCTCAGCATTACCAGGCCACGTTTCTACCGTAGTTTTGTAAGGTTACGGGAAACTACGTTGTACGACGGAAGTTCATCTCTCAGTAGAGTCTCGTAAGCTGCGAAGGGGTTCGTTGTCCTTGTCCGGAAGTATAGGGAGAGACAAACCTATCACAAGAGAGAACCCTGGTCTTTATCATGGTTACGTTTCCGCCAGAGTCCTAGAAAAAGCATTATCACACGAAACGAGTGATAACTTATATTCTCCACTTGTGATTCGAGTGTGATGAACTGGAGCAATGAGTTCATTTTTGTGCTTCCCATTGAATATTATAAAGAGGTAGCAAAGTTTCACTCTAGATGTACGGCGATACGTACAAATAGGTTAATATAGGATAGAGTTAATGCAGCCAATAACTCTGTAAATGTTGTTTAATAATAGCCATCAATCGTATAATGTGAAAAGTACGCACTGCAATGGATAAAAACTTTTTGCGAAAACAACGAATTAGAATACTGGAAGGAGCAACAGTTATGTCAAGAAAGCTAATGTATAATATACGTATAACATGATAAATAATGTACATAACGAAAAGGATAAAGGATAAAGCGCTCGGCGCTGATCAATCCCTGAGGGACATGCCATGTATTCGACTTCATTAAGTATCGCTGCAGGTGACTGAATGCACATCTGGCCTTTACAATAACTCGCAGTGACCTATCGATGTATCGAGCCAATGCTGCTATCCTTCCAGATAAGTCTGGTGCCGATTTGCAGACCCCAGAGAGACGGAAGGCTTGGTGGTCCTTGGACGCTGGGATCGACTCCATGTGTATCGTAGCGCACCTTCGACCGCTGCGCTACACGCTCCCTAAAATTAATAATCACCCCCAACGATACGTGTAATATCATACATAATATGTATCTAATATAGGCAGATTTATAATATTCTGGATTTCATAACAGATGTAGAGGTCGTCCAAGGGAAATGTATAGCAAAGCCTTCCAATTCTGAACGGTGATTCCTTCTGTCAACTGTTGACTGCCTTTGAAATCGCTACAATAAATTATTTTTATAATATGGAATGAGAAAAACGCCTGTAGAACGATGTTACAAAATCTTCCATAATTCTGTTAGCCCATAACTGTTGAAATATACTAATCATCGGAAAATAAGGGAAAATTGTCAAAGAACCGGCATGGAAAGCGGTACGTAGTGTTATTTATGAGATGCATTACTGTTTTTCTAATTTTCAATCACTATAACAACTTTAAGAGGGCACGTGTAGCGCAGTGGTCGAACGCGCCCTGCAATACAGATGAGATCGTTCCCTCGCCCCAGGTTAATCAGTCTTCCATCCCTCCGGAGTCGGCGAATTGGTACCAGAGTTGTCTGGGAAGAAAGCAGCACTGGCTCAATAAAACGCTAGCCACCGCGAGTCAATTTAAAGGCCAGATATGCATTCAATCACCTCCAACGATGCTTAATGAAGTAGAATGCATGGCGCATCCATCAGGAATTGGTCAACGCCGAAAGCTCTATCCATTTCGTGCTCGTACCGAGATGTTTTTTTCTTTTCTCCCTTTCTCTTCTTTCAGTCTTTCCTTCCCATTGTTTCGAGGAGATTCCAAAAACTAGCAAATACTCATAATTGCTCCTCACCTGTATTTATAGTCCCATCGATCGTCGAGTTACTCGAACCGGCTCCCGTAAATGTTCCATTTTTTCCTGTCGCTAGCAACAGGCCAGCGAATTCCGCTCGCTCTAGATACTCGTTCAGCACTACACCCGGCTTTCGTGAAGAACTCTGACCATCGGGTCGGTGGTCTTTCTGCAGTACGTTTGACATCCCGAGGAATTCAGTCATCAACGGCTCTTGTGCATCGGCTGTCACTCATACGCATACTCACGGGTAGCTTAGCACGCTTTCCCAGAGTGGACATGGAACTTATTTGTTGGAGGCGACTCCTAACTGCCTCCCAAATACTTCCCTGTCACTTGATTGCAGGCTTTTGGTCGAATTGACTCGTAGAATGCAATCAGCATATACGAGAACGCACCCACAGACGCATGCATGAATACACCTAGCACATAGAAAAAGTATGTGCCAAATCGGAGCAGCAGAAACAGAGTTCATTCCCTGGATCCACCTGTTTCAGGGAAACAGGTCGCCTTTGCTCTGTGATCAACCTCCTATCCGCCAGTTGGGAACCCGCAAAGTAGCCTCGCATCTAACCGTTTCGAAATCACAGAGAGATCCTTGGCGTGATTACTCAGTGCACGGAAATCCTTGGTAATCTCCAGCTCCACTGCTTTGAACCAAGAAAATCGGTTTTTACCAGAAATTTCCGTGCACTGGAACAATTATGGGTATTTGCTAATTTTTGGAATCCCCTCAAAAAAAAAAGGGAAAAAGGGAACGAAAAAAGAGAAAGAGAAAAAGAAAAGAAAGAAAGAGAGAAAAACGTCTCGGTACGACTACGAAACTTTATCCTATGATTTTGTAATGACTTTTGAGTATTGCATAGAATGAGAGAATATCAAAACCACAAGGTAAACATCGTAACATTAGTTGCAGAACTTTTATGACTTCATTAAATGCTCACAGAAGTATGACTGCATAGTGGACGAGTACTTTTTAAAGAAAACAGTTGTACCTGCGCCAAGAACAAGTGAGTGTGTATCGAAGATCATGGAACATATACAGGATAAAAGGAACGCAGAATGTTTTTTGTTCAAAACATAGGAGAAAATCGATTTTAGAACGGAAATGGGAACAGAAGGATGCGGAGCTATACAGAAACTACCGGAGTGGCTGGTATGGAATCCATGGTTGTAATGAGCAAGCGAATAGCTAGGCATCGCTCAATTCGCAGGAAAGCGGACGCTAGGCGTCATCGCGTCGCGTCTCATCGCAGTGTGAGGGAACACCGCTAGGTTTGCAAAGGCTGCGAAATCGACCCTTTCAAATCTGAGTTATCAATTGAATATGCTCTGCAATTAAGCAATGCTGCACACTTTCCTGCGTAAACGGATCCTACTATTTCGATGAGAACTGGGAACACTCATCGTCAGCATCCAGATGCCAGTATATGAGGTTATCGTGAGCGAATCAATTCAGTTGTCATGAGGTTTGCTGTTCATCGTTCATCAATCTTAATGGGAAGTGGTTTTAGTATCCACAGATCAATCGCGTTGACGGGTGGTCGCCAACGACACTGGTAGATAGAAAATTAGCTAAGAGACAGGCGAAACAAAGGACTCGCATGGAGCGGAGGTGAACGCGTTCTTTCTCCACGGCAGACAACTGCGATCCGGAGATTTGCAAAAATATATCGGCATCATTATGGTTATTCAAATATTGTTTATATCTATGAAGTGCAAAACAGTACTACCAACAACCGCTCAACAAGAAGATATCGAGGAGTACTACTAACGCCGACCAACGACGTGTTGATGTTCAGCATTTCTTGCGTGTGTTTTTGCGTGATATTCGATGTTTTGGTGTAAGCGCTTGCGTTTTCGTCTGGTCAGCTAACGTTTCCAGTTACAGTGTTTCCCTTTCGCAACTGTGTACTCTTATCGATCGAATTGGACCAGTCCATTTTTTTGTGTACTATTTCTTGCTTCCGCATCATTGAAATAAGTTATCACTGTTTCACTCCCATTTTTAAGTGTCCACTAAAAGTATGGCAACTGGCAATCAGATCCAGGAGCTTCAAGGGACGTTAACACCAATCGTGAAGGCACCGCTTTCGGACATACTTACAATTTCACGGTCGCAGCTGGTTGAGAATGAGTTATGAATGTTCGAGAACGATTAGAACTCTTGGTTATTTCATACGTTATAAGTTTTTCTAACGCTTTGAGAGGTTTCTTGAGTACTTCTCAAGTGTTCGTCTATTGTTTTCGTTTTTAGGTCAGATTTATGGTTTCTTCGAAGCGCATTTTTTCGTTGTATGGAGACATATAGTCCAAAACTCGGACGTCTATGCTGTGTTCTGTAGCATCGGGACTTGAAAGAGTGTGCGGCGAACGACAAGCAGAAAAATGTGATCGCTGGGTTCTCATTTTTGGACTTGTTTGAACGTGGTTTATTTTGAAACTTTCTTCTGTTGTTGATTTTAGCATGCCCACATGTTGATTAGTGGCATCTGTGAGTTATTTTAAAATTGTTATAGAGCTGATACCTTTTTTGCTTTCTGCGCGTTGCTGCTATTGAAGCACAATGCAAGAAGCTCTTTCGCGAGGGAAAGCTTGAAAATCCTTTTCTGGAGGATCCGTGGCTACGATAATACAGACCAGAACATTTTGAATTGAATAGGAGTTTACGAAATTTCTAAATTAGGTTTGGAAAAAGGAATTAAAAGAAGAATTGGAGTCCTTTGTTCAGGTTGTCGTGGACCGGTCCAATATTTGTAATTTATTTGCATCATAAAATTCAAATTCCCCAATTCAAAAGTGAAAGAAGCAGTAGTTTATGCTCGAAGATATGTTCGATGGGTAGTCGACACCACGGGACATCATCTTAGGATCTGGTCCGTCGTCATCATGTTCACTTTTTGGGCAAGAATGGTAAAGGAGAAAAGCGTGCATCCGGCTAAGTGACAACGTAGTAGTAATGTTAACAGAAAGAGAACGTAATTATAACCGAAATGGTGAGTAAACAGTTTCCACTTCATTTGATTCGTTTAACTTTTCGAAGTTAACTATAGCCAGAATCCAAGGAATGTTGAAAGGACGGTTGCATTATCTTTGTCGGTTTGTGACTACGCGCTGTTTGGCGGGCATAAGCATATGAATGAGCCTAAAAAGGGCACTCTTTCGAAAAATGATACCTATAGATGTCATGGTTGCTTTGCTGGAGTGGCCGGCAGTACGCCTATAGGTGTCATTTCCTTTCCGTTGGTTTATTTTGGTGCACTGCAATCCTTTCCTAGTCTTGTAATCAATCAATACCTTGACCAACGGCGATACTTTGACGGGCGTCGTCCATGGAAGGATATCTCGTTTAATATTTCTCAGTAGTTTCTCATTTTTGCGGCCAGAGACTATTGCTGTCGAAAAGAGTGCGACTTAGAGAGTGTATCCAGTGAAGAGGCGCGGAAATCCCTCTGCCTCGAGGAACTGGCATTGCATACAGTGTGCAGCCTCATTTTTGGGGCCATTAAAAAGAAAAAGGCAGTAAATAAAAGGGTTAAGGTTCTAAATAGACCTTGCCAGTGTTCGTTGAGGTGCTTAACGAAACATTTCTTGAAGTTTGTTCATTTCTATGAGTAGACCGCTCTGGTTTCCCACAGTGGTGCTGAGATATTTGCAAAGCTCGGGACCACAGGTGTCTGCGGTGAAGATCAAACGCTCTGTTCCCCTTTTCGGGATGATTGCTGATAGCAACTATAAAACGTGGCGGAGAGAAAGGCGGAACAAACAACCTGCGTGGTGTGGCAGTGGTCGCGCTATTCACCGGAAGGAGTAAGAGCGCGTTCGGTCTTCACTGCAAACACCTGCGGTCCGCAGTTTTGCAGATATCTGAACATCGTTATGGTTGTTTTGCACACAATATTTGTCGTTACATGGTGTCTCCATACAACCTGTAACTAGCAGAAGAATGAAACTAAGTGCATAGGATGGGAGGCCTACACAGTATAAAAAACCAGAAACTACTTCTTGCGTGCTACCTTTGTACTCAAGTTTTTGAACTCTGATGTAATTTTCTGTTGAGATACAATATACAGGTTTTGTTAAAGATTTGATCTTAAGAGTGTGTTTTACTGGGGAGTCCATGTTTAGAGTGCAATTGATCGTGTGAGGGCTGTGTTAAGCATGAGAGAGGGACAAGTATCACGAATGGTTAACTCTTCTAGAGCTGACTACGCCCCATGGTAGGTGTTCTATTTTGAGTACTAGCAATTCGATGTCTCGCTATTTCACTTTTTCGAGAAAGTTGGTGCGTGATGTGGCTTTTGTTGTTTTCGAGAAATCTGTGAAGTCGTGAAAATATGAAATCAACGGGTGTTAGAAATAATCTAGCGAATCGCTTTCTCTTGTGGTATCGACTAAAAACAATTGAAAATTTGAACAATTGTCATAAATCTAATCCATTACCTTCTTGATGAGCACAAACGAGTTTGTTGTTATCTATTATCTATTTGTCTACAACGACTGATATTCTGATAGGTTTCTTCTTTTTCAATGCCTGGAAAGGTCAAGTTGGTTGCATATGTGGTCAGCCAAACAATTCCATAACTTCAGCAGAAGAAGCTTACCACCTGCGTTTCAATCGCGGGAAAAACTACATATTTTAAATAATCACCGTTTTCTTCCTTATAAATGTTCCACTTATTTACGGAGACCAGCTGCACAAAGTTTACATGTGTGGAATGTGTCTCTTTAAGGTTAGAAGCTTAGGGTATTGCGTGAGATTACTTATGATGACAAGGCATTCCTCTTTGGGGTTTATTTCTGGATTTTTAAAACTTATTTAGATTTCCAAGATCGACTTTCTCTTAACCTCGGCATTGGAATATGAATGTGTCGTTTTCTTGTTCAGCAATCGCGAGGTTTTTAAACAGCATACATTTACTTCCATAAAAACACAATACAATACAACGCTAGCTGACGTTTCGGCAGTATCGCCTTCTTCAGAGCCTGGAAGGGTATACTGATATACAATCTACTAGGCCAAACGCTTCAATAACACTTACAAGAAGACGAAGAACTCTCCGGTAATTACATAATCAACAACTTCTCGAAAAACCCACCGCTTTTTCGTGACTTCCAATGAGGAAGTTTAGAACAGCTGATTATAGTCGCATGTGGTTGACGACTGCACCATCCCACATCAAAAAT